CATGAAAGAAAACACTGAACCTATACAACCATACATCACTGTGGTTAACAGCTGCTAAATTATAAAGCAACAACAAAAGCCCTTTTGTAATTGCATTCAGACTTCCCCTGGATGAGTCTTTGTTGCCCATACAAACCCTGAGCAGTTAATGGCTGCTAATGAACTCTTGACTCTGCATCACCTCTGATGCTTGCTTTCTCATTCTCAACCTCATTTTCTTACTTCTTCATTAAATATTAACAAGTAGAAGAGTTATCCATTTATAGCTAGTAATTAGAATATTTTATTGCCATGACCAGACCGTCTCATGCCCTGTATTTTTAAAACTTTCTAATACAATATCTCCTGTAAAAACAAGTCTCTTGGCTTCAGTGGGAATCTACATATTATGGGGAATGAATTTTCCCAGCTATACATTTTCTTTTTTTAGAATGATGACTATCGCACAATAAAAGATAGATATTACTGTTTTACTACCTGCGGCTTGATATTCTCTCTCATCACGATTTCAGTACCAGTGTGACCTAATCAAGAGTGAAGCCAGGTTCTCTAACAGGAGAATTCAGGGATCTATAAGCTCAATAACTGCCCTTGTGACCATGGGCTTAGCATTTTACATCACCTCTGTGTGGCTTGTCCAAGCCTGCCCAGCTGATTCTAATGGAAGTTGTGCCTGCCTATGCAAGAGTTAAATTAGGGCTTCTTTCTCTGCCCACTTTATGTTTTAATGTAGTTAAAAGATGAGCTTGCCTGAAATCTGCTACCTGCTCTCAGCAAGTGTTGCTTGCTCTAACGGCCCTATGAGCTGAAGCTGGTCTAAGCCTCTTGAGCTTGGTATACAGCTATATGGAAAGGGATCTACAATTATATGGAAGGGACTTTATTGCCGTTTTTTACTTCTTCTACACTTCTTGCACTCAGTCTCTATATTGATATTCTCCACTTTTTGCTGCCCTCTTCTCCAAGCAATTTTAGAGTGTCGTTAAATGTAACATCAGAGTCCAATACTTTCCTGCTACACAAATATCTTTTTTCTTACTTTCAAGTGTTGCCTTTTGCAAGAAAACTTTTTTTTTTGCTTTAAACCTTTTTCATGCGTGGTAAGATGCTGTCCTAGGAACAGCAGCTTGTTGTGTGCTTTCTGTTTAGAGCACTCCCCAGTGCCTCATTTTAAAAGTCCCCCTCTTATAGCAAAAGTCTTTTTATAAAACACTTACCCATTCAGCAGAATTATGCAATACGTTTTCCTCAGACGCTTCATTGGTGCATTCATTTCTCCCACGAAGTTCTGCACCTTCAAGCATCTGATCCTCCTGATGCCTTCCTGCCAGCGCAGGAAATGGTGCAGAGTCTTAGCAAAACAAAAGTTGCAGTCACTGCTTGCTTACCGTCCATTTCCAGTCACACTGGCACTCTACCAGAGCCTTATAAAGCTCTGAAATGAAGAGTGCAGAGCTCTTGTATAGCTGGCCTTGATGACACAGGTGCTAGAGTGGTATTCAGCTTGCAGATGGAAACAGCTACCTTCAGGTTTCTGAGCATCCCTTTGGCGATGGAGATCTGGTCAATAGAGTTTGTGCCATGGAAACTGATCAAGAGAACCGATCAGCTCACTCTTAAGTAGACACCCACAAGGGCTCAGTTCATACAGAGGCCTCAAGAGCCATGCCTGTGTCAACTCCAGTGACCGAAATAGGATCTCTCGCTTGCCTAAATCCCCTCCCCCTGCTTTTTTAATCTGCAAGTTGAATTGCATCCCAAGTCATAGATATCCCACCTTTATCCCTGACAGCTCACAAGCTGAGTAAGCCTCACATTGCAACCATAATACTCACATTACAGTTACTTAGAGGCTGCCTTAGGTTATATACCACTGGTCTGTACCCACTGCCTGCAGCTGCCCTACATTTACACTTGCCCCGTACCCTTGCAATTCACTGGGTTTTTTTGTGACTTCTTCCATCCTTCATTTCAGGATTTCGCAACAAATAAAAATTAATAATTAGTTTAAAAAATTCACAGCTTAAAAAACATAGCTCAGAACAAAGTCCTCGAAGTCGGGTCTTTCAGATGCCACTTCCAGGTGTCACTACCTAGAGTAAGACCATTACACAGAGCGAAGTTCTGGCTCCTCACTTTTTCAGTCTGCTAAGAAATTCTCAGAATTCATACTCCTTTGAGATCCTAGACAGGTCAGTCTTAAGTGATCGCTCTTTCTGGAAAGATAAATAATGGAGGCAAGTGGCTGCAAGGACGCTCACTACAAGCTGTGCCTTCCGATCCCTCCTCTCAGCTTGAGGTGCAGATCAGGACCAGGTGAGCAATAGTTATACACTGAAATTCCTCTTAGTGATTCCTCTCAAGTGCACCTGTCCAGACATCTCAAAACACACATCTAAATTAGAAAGTACATGTTAATGGAAATATTGTCACTCACCAGAAAGTTTTGAATGCTGTTTCTTTCTGTAGCAAAGATACAAGCCTCCCACTGCCACTAAGAAAGGAATGATGGTCCATATTGCCAAATCTCCCTTTTTCCATGAGTGAGCTTCTGCATCTATGTATTTGAAATAAAGTTATGTACTGTTCAAAGATACAATAGAAGAACACCACCATAGCAAAAAAAAAAAAAAAGTTAAAATTAAAAGTGACTTCAGGAGTGAACCAGTCCATCCCCCCACCCAAGTGCAAGGTCATCTATACTTTACCATTCCTGAGGGATGCATGCCTGATGAACAGTAACATCAAACCCTCCTATAGCTCCTGCAGTTTGACAGTTTTTCTCCCCAATGTCTAATCTATCTTTTCTGCTTTTCATTTAAGGCTATTAGTACTTGACAAAATACCAGATCACTTAACTCATTTTAGATTATTTTAACTCTTTAACAGCCTTTTATATTAATTTCCCCCCCATTTTTAACATGGCTTCATTCATTCTCTGCCACTGATGTTTTCTAAATCTTTGATTATTTTTGTGCCTGCCTTTGGACTGACAGTTGGCCAATAGTGTAAAATAGTGTCCAAAACTGGACTGTGCTGGACGAAGGGAAAGGCTACTTCCCATGACTTGACCAGTTGATATATGAGTGATGTTTGACAATGTTAAAGGTCCAGGCAGAGCTAGTCCCCTAGTTGTTCTCTACAGTTGAGAGGTAGAAAGAGAGAGGCAGAGATGAGCATCTTCAAGAAGTGATGCAAAGTATCTTGAGGCAATTGCATAACAGAAGTCAAGTAAACTGTTGTCCAGGTACATTGCATTCTTTTCATAATTTAAGGTGAAACATACTTCACTCCTACTGCTGAAACATTTAACTGTGTTTGAGTACTCATTGTATTAATGCTTTTCAATTGTTAATTCAGAATTGGGACCTTAAATTGCTGCCCTGTAAAGGTTACTATAAAAAACAGGAGAGACAGCCTATCTATAACATTTTGCCATTACATCTTTATGGACACAAATCCTTGTAAATATAGAGCCCATACTGCTCCATCTTCCATATTGATTTATCTCCCACTTTTTATTAAGAAATTGTAACAAAAAATAAAATAGTTAGTAAAGAGTACATGTTACTGAACAGAGTAACCATGTAATTGCTTCAGTCACTCCTTAGCACACGGCAAATTCGTTCACTGCCTCACATCTAGCCTGCCAAATCCCTCCTGAGCAGCAACAGCGTTTGGCTCTTCTGTGAAACACACAGCTGATCCACAGCTTGTTTGTAAACCTTAACTAATAATTCCTCTTAGCAAACCCTTACAGGAGAAAACAAACACTTTACACTGGGGGTATGAAGGCAGAGAGCTTAAGTCAAATGTCATTAAGACTCATTCTGGTCCTCTCTGTGTTTGTCTCACTCACCCTGAAATCCACAGCGTTGGGGGAGGGATGTGGGAGAGGGAGGAAATGTATAAAATAGTTCAAACCAAAGAGCCTTTATCATGACAAGTTAAATGGCACGCATATGCTTTCGCTAGCTTACCTTTCTCTTCAACAATCACTGTTGTCCCGTTTCCATATACTTTCTTACAGAAAGGTATTTCAATAATTATCTCGCAGTAGTAAAATCCCGTGTCATTTACATTGGCAGATTTTATCACTAGCACATCCTTGCTTTTATGGGTGGCGTTGGATACATAGAAAAGGTTTGATGATACAGTTTTGGTGATGTTGTCTTTATTAAGAAGATACCAGCTTATTCTATACCTCACAACAGATTTTTCCCAAATACAGGTGATTTCAGTGTAGTCTCCAACTGATAGATTTATTTTCACTGGTGTCTGAATGACTGTTAATTTATTGGGATCTGTAGCTCCTGGAGAAATACACACAGATTTAAAAGTTGAAGCAGCAAAGAGATGATATTACAGCTGTAATGTCTACAATCACAGAATTGAAAATAACTTTAATACTGTAAAAACATTATGAGATTACTTTTTAAGATCAGTTACTACCCACTTCCCCTTCAAACAACGGCAATTACTTTCTGGCTAAAGGAAACTTCTAATCTGGTGTGTTAAAGCCCTCCATCATTGTTTGCGTGCAATAAATGGAGATTTTCTGGGTACTCGACGATATACTTTTTATTTTCAACAAAAAACTTTTATAGCAGAGGTTGAGTCTGAAGCATATTAAACACTTTATTTGCCAGATAAAGAATGACCAAAAGGAGTTATTCAGAATGATTCATCAGCGCATACTGAAAGACTCATCGAGATGAAAGAAAATTCCACTACAATTTTTTGTCACTATGTAGGAGTTCTTGTCCTGCACTGCTTCTAATTAGTGACAAAAGTACAGCATTTTTGGGCGGGTTCTTTAATTTTATTTAAACTTCTTTCATTAAGTTTTTGCTGACAAGTAGTTTATAGCATCAGATTCACCTCCTTAGTTTAATAAGTATAAAATATGCCATTCAGACCACAGTTATTTCATCGGGTCTGTTGCCTGCCTTTTAGCTAAGGCTGACTCAAACAGTATCAGAGGAAACTTTTTACTCTTTCCTGCTTTGAATCTCTCTACTGATCACTGTCCACACGCAAAGTGACCTACATGAGATACTGCACAAGACTCTACAAAATACTATCTTCTGACGGGAAACCACTGTGTGGATATGAGATTTTTTTTTTTTTTCTTCTAATGACACTGATGCTCATCACAAAAGTGCTAATGCTATAAAATCTATCCCCATGACTGCGGACACCATTATTTTCACATGCTTCATGAAGAATTATTATTTCCTTTTTTTTAGAATTTGTACTACTAAAGTGAGGAGCTACTCATAATGAGAGTAAACTGCATGATTTTCTTCCAAATTTTATCCCTGTCTGTAACTCAGGCACATTTCACACCAACATGCAAGCAATAGGATGATTTTGCCGCTATCTGGTCCTAAAATGGCATCTAATAAGTTTTATAGAAATTATGCAAATAACATTTTTTCCTTTGCCCTTAGAAAAAGCCACATATTTACCAAACCTAAAGGAGTTAGGCACGTCTATTTTTTCTACAATGTAGTGCTCAACAACTTGCAGAGAAAATATGGACAGTACAGGGGTAATAAACAGCAGAAAAAATAAGGGAAAGAACTGATGTAGCACGTAAATGACAACTTAGAGGATGTTCCAGTGTCAAAGAACTTAATTAAATTAATTTCAGTTTTTTCATTCATTTGGTTTGCGATTTAAAATACAGTTGTGCTACAGGCTGTGCTATGCTTCTGTCTTGTCACTTGCTTTTTGAAAAATATCATTGAAAACATATTTTAGCCCTTGCTTAATCTCTTAATCTCTCCTTCTTTTGTTCCATTTTTTTTTTATGCTGAACACCTTCAGTATTATCCAGCGCAATTTGTATTGAGTAAGAAACATGAAACCTTATTTGCTTTGTATTTCAGTACCTACGTGATCTAGAAGAAAACCTCTTTAACATTTTAAAATTCTACATTCAGTGTCTGTCACAACAAATACTCAAGTTTGAAGGCCTAAGAAAAACAGTGCTTGCTTAACCTAACATAATTTTGGGTGTCGAAGTGTAAGATTTGTTCCTCTACACTTTTTCTACAACAACCTCTTTGTGAAAATGCTTTTTGATTCCTCAGGCATTTTAATTTTGATGTCAGCATTATGAAAATATAGTTAACATCCTCCTTGTCTCTCACACGAGTCTATTTGAGGCGGATATACTGTGAGAAGTTGTTTTAAATCCAGGTCAAGAATTACAGGTGACTAACTATAAACAAAATGAAGCAAATAAACAGCACTTACCTAAGGAGCCAAAACACATTGTTAAAAGAAGTTTCAGTGAAATTACAATCATCATGCAGGATTACTAGCACTTGCATGAGGGTGTCTATCGCAGATCAGCAAAACAACAAATGAAAGAATGTCAGATTTGTAGCTTAACTTCCTCTTCCCTCATGTGGTGAGGATGACAGAAAGCTAAATGCAACCCAAATTTAACCTACAATCTTAGAAATTGCCGTCATAGATGTGTCTGGTTTAAAGCCCAGGTATCCTGTCTGAAATCAGAACACTTCTTTAAATTTTAAATTGTGTCCTAACTGGTTACCTTTCAACACTAGATTAGCCTCTCCTCTGATAAGACATAAAGAACTGCTTTTTCATACTTACGGGGGTCTCATGTGAACGTTTGCCGTTGCACTTCTGCAATCCTTCATTTAAAGGCACTTTATGAAGATGAAGCTTCTTTAACTACTGTGTACATGCTTGTCAGCAGCCTCTGCCAGCCAACCTGATGAATCTTACCCAAAGCCAAAGAGACAATGATCATACATAGGTTACACTGATGCCAAGTATTACGCCTATCTTTCTGTATCACAGATTTCATTGCTATCTTGCTGAAATCTTGCCTAAATTCTTCCCTCCTGTGAAGAGTACTTGTGACGGTGTGCTCCCTCCCCTCATCTCTGACTCCCCCTCCTTTGCCTCTTTCAAGTGATAACTACCTGTGGCTGTGGTGATAGATGCATCTGATAGATATGTCTGGTCGTGAAGGATGCACCCACTGGGTGTGGGGGGAGACAGATAACAGTACAATAGCCAAGGGCTATTGTGCAATGTGCCCACCTAAGCACAGTGGTCAGTATGCAAATATGACTATGAGTCAATTATCTTACCCCCATAAATAGTGAGCAGCCCAAGAGCCCTTTGAGCTCTCCTGCACGCCAGCAGGCTGCACGCCAGGATCTCCCCTTGAGCAGGGACGCCTCTCAAGGTTACTCCTAGAGGTTGAGAGATACCTTACCACGACAGATTCTCGGTAAGTGACTAACAGCATGCTACCTTGGAAATCTTAGCTAAGTGACATAAAAGATTAATTGAGCATATACAATCCTTTAGGCATAAACCATTGACCAAGTCTGGGACTAGGATTGGATCCAGCCGCACCTAGACTCCTCTTTGAGGGAGTTTAGAAAGCAAGGGGATCTTTTCTGAACCTCATGACTCAACGGGAGGGTCTCCCTGACAGTTTTGTCTGACCCTGTCCTCTGTGCAATAAATAACAAAGTGTACCTTGCCATTGAATCTCAAACTATTGTCGCAGTTACCACTGAACTTTGCTAACTCACTGTTTTACACCAATAAACCACATTATTTTTGCCTCCCTCTCACTCCATCCATGCCAGTACTCTCCTACTTTTGCCTTAACAGTAGCGTAGCTCCATTGGCAGGAGCAATGGAGGAAAGCTGAGTTAGAAGACTGCACTCACACTGGCCCCAACATCCTGCAACATCAGCGAGAAACAGCCCAGGACACCATGCTGTGTATGCAATGCGCCTCGCTATTACCTCTATGGCTGCAGTTGCATTAATGCGATGCCAGTGTCATGTATATTAAATAAGGCTTATTTTACAAAGATTATAAGCATAGATTAAATAAAATGATCTACAGTTACATCATCAAGTTAAGGGGCATGTTGAAAGTCATTTGCCTTTAATTATGAAAAAAAATTTCGACAAATATAGATAACTGTATGCTGGTTAACGTTCTCCAGTACTGATCTTTGGCTTCAACCCAGAATCACTTACATTGCCTGGCCAGAGAAGTGGAAGACAAAACACTGCTTCTGTTTTTTCACCTTATCCAGTCTTATTCCCTTGACAGATGTTTCAATTGCAAAAGCTCCAGGCCAGACAAAATTGTCCCACAAAATGTTCAGTTGGGTAACATGAAAATTGCAATGACAGCAGTTTAAAAAAAGGCTGAGTTGCTTAATGCCTTCTTTGCCTCAGTCTTTAATAGTCTGGCCAGTTATCTCCCCAGGGTACTCAGCCCCCTGAGCTAGAAGACAGCAGAATAAACCCCCCATAAACCAGGAGGAAGCAGTTTATGACCTGCTATGCCACCTGGACGTCCACAAGTCTATGGGGCCAGATGGGATTGGCCCAAGACTGCTCAAGGAGCTGGCAGAGGAGCTTGCCAAGCCACTCTCCATCATTTATCAGCAGTCCTGGTTAACAGGGGAGGTCCCAGATGACTGGATTCTTGCGAATGTGACGCCCATCTACAAGATGGCAAGGGGCAAGAGGAAGATCTGGGGAACTACAGGGGAACCGGGGAAGGTTACGGAGCAGTTCATCCCGAGTGCACTCACCAGGCCTGTGCAGGACAACCAGGGGATCAGGCCCACCCAGCATGGGTTTATGAAAGGCAGGTCCTGCCTGACCAACCTGATCTCCTTCTATGACCAGGTGACCTGCCTGGTGGATGACGGAAAGGCTGTGGATGTTGTCTACCTGGACTTCAGCAAAGCCTTTGACACTGTCTCCCACAGCATTCTCCTGAGAAGCTGGTGGCTCATGGCTTAGACAGGTGTGCTCTTCACTGGGTAAAAAACTGGCTGGATGGACGAGCCCAGAGAGTTGTGGTCAACAGAGAAAAATCCAGTTGGCAGCCAGTCACAAGTGGTGCTCCCCAGGGCTCAGTTCTGGGGCCAGTTCTGTTTAATATTTTTATCCACGACCTGCTTCTCAGTACCTACCTTACAGAAGTAGTTTCCAGTGTTGTTTAGATTGCCAAATAAAATTAAAAATGAGACAATAGCAAAGAAAAACATCACAAAGTGCAATAGGCTATCCCCATTTCTGATGGCACCCAGCTGACTTAGTTATCACCTTTTAGAGCTAGTGGGGACATCACAAATGCCTTTACATTCAAGCGAATGAAAGGATATGTTAAAGCAAATAATTTATAGCCAAGGATATTATTTAATTATATTAAATAATTCTGCTAGCATTGACATTCATGTTATCTTTGGTACTACTGACCAAAAATGTAGAATAAATGAAGGATCCATGCATAACCTCAAAGGAAAAACTAGTTTCTCTTGTATTTAAATGTATAAATTTGTGCACTTAGTGTTGAGTTATACAGCTGGCAGCTCCAGCATGCAGAATATTTCATCTAGAGACTAGGTGAAGCTTTTTCAATAGTACTGATAGCAGCTTATATTTACTCTGAAAGATGATTTGGTTCTAATCCAAAGGCATCTACTGTCAGAGATGAAATGAACTAGCACAGAGAAAAAGGGGTTGGGAACAAGGTTTATTTTTAGCCCAGGTTACTTCATTGTACCGTTTTACAAGACAGCCCCACAAACTCTCGTCAACAGTACTACTGAGTGGGTGGAAAAATTTCTCAAGTGGTGACAAAATTTCTCAAGCCAGCTTTGCTGCCAGGGTAAGTGCATCGCACAAAATGACTATGTGGGGCAGGAAAGCATCTACAACAGCAATACCTTTTTAAGATTTCTTTTCTTTCTTCAACTTAATCTTAGTTAACCTTGGAAATTGCATGAATGAATTTGGATTCTGTAAATGCGTAACTTAGCGGTGTGCTGGACACGACTGCAGAGCAGCTGCCCAGCGCAGAGGCACTCTGGTCTTGGAGAGGCAATGACAGTTATAGCCAGTCTCTTCCAGACGCTTTGCACAGATCAGTCTTCCCAAAACTTTTCTCCATAGTGTTCAAATTAAAATACCCATGCTGAAAAAAACACATGAAACTTTGAAACAGAGAGGACCTAAACCCCCTTGCTCCTCCTTACCCGTATGTCAGGCTTGCTTGAGAGCTTGTAAAACACGCATTAATGAGAGAGCAGCATTTTTGAGGTGTTACTGTCAGCTGGGAAAGCTTATTAATCTACAGCAGCATTGACGAGAGTTTGTGTGAAATTCAAGATAGTCAGATGAGTTTGTAATTCTGCTGCATTGGAATAAGAAGAGGGAGCAAAACCCATTTACATTTGTTATGAAACCTTAGTCTGAAATTTTCATACTTAAAACAAAATCCTGAAGTACTAAGTCAAAGACATGTTACCAGATTCTTTTAAAAAAAGTTATAATTCACATTTGCCTTTTCAAGATCGTCTTCAAATCGTAACAAACACTTTAGAAAGTTGCAGGTGCCAAAAGACAGTTCTGGTGAAAATGGAAATTTTACTTTTGTTGTGCCAAACTCATGAATCTTCCCCTCTCTGACTCAAAGGTGGGAAGCATGCTATCACTTGGGCTTTTTATCCACTACCTAGCTTCAGTGTAACAGACCTTGTAACTTCTCATGACAGCCAGCGGCGTTCTGTGTGCTCTGTATGATACATACTATTCATTTTGTCCAGCTATGACCCAAACAAAACCACCAAAACCTTAATTTGATATCGAGTCTAGGACTATTCTTAGCACACTTATTTATTAGCACAGGAAAAACACGCCTAATTTGTTTTCCGACTGTGAATAATAAATTACGTCTCAGTAGGCAAAACCGCTCCACAGCATGAACGGACCGACAAAACAAATATGCTGATTGTGGATACCAGAATTAATTTTCAAATTATTTTTAAGTGTACAAGTGATTCTTTTACCTGATCTAGTAATAAAGAAGTGATCTGCAAAAATCTCCTTTCAAAAGAGCAACTATGTAAATCTTACACAACAGAAAAAAATGGTCAGGGTACTGGCATCAATACGTTCATCAGCAGGACTTTCTCAATCAAGATAAATGCTAGCATGAAAGAGGAACTATTTTCCTTAGCTTTAATTTAGGTTTGCACCTGGTTTAATGTAAAATAAAGGTTATTAATTAACTTTTCCTAGAAAGCAAAAAACCTAACAACAAAAAAATAAAAATCTCTTGTGAGTCCAAATAACTGATATGTGCATTTCGGCAATGTGGGTGTAACTGAAGTATTTGAGAGTGGAATATAACAAACCTGACCGTGTGTTTGCCGAGCAGGGGCACAACCTGTCATCCTCAGTGGTTGGAAGTAGTTTCCTTTCCATTTTGTAACTGAGGCTCACATTTTTGCTACCCAAGCCGTGTCTGAGCAA